TGAATAATGGTGAATACAGTCAGCATAATAGCTCTTATACCACTATGCGTCCATGTTGTAATCATATGATTTGTAAATGCTTTATAAACGACGCATTGGATTCATTATTTGACAATACTGGTTCAGTCTAACAACAAGACGAAATCAGTAGAGTAGTGGTTACCGTTTCCGCTTTCCAAGTAGAAGGTCGTGAGTTCAATCCCAAGCTCAACTGTTTTTTTTTTTATTTGTGTTCTACGTCTAAATAATTTAAATAGTAATCATCGATCACTTGACTCACGACACTGAATGCATTGATCTAGTTTACAATATAACCGAGCATCCTTTCCTTAGAATTGGAGAAGTGAAGAGGTAACATTGGTCTCATTTAAAACAACGATGAATGAATTAATTATTCGCACAGGGCCTTGAAGGATCTAGGGTTGCGATCGGGAGTGCTTATATGTATTTACTTTCAAGCAAGCTTTTATTGATTATTGAGTTGCCATATGATGAATTCTAGGATAGCTCAGATGACAAGGCAAGCGGCTGGTGATTGGAAGGTATATGGTGCGAAACCCATGCAACGGACATGTATAAGTATTTAATAAATTCTCTAATAATTGTGTGGTACACTGAAAATGTATTTTCGTTATTTCTCTGAAAACCGTTTCGTAAAAATGAATATCGTACATACATACAACACATCTTTCATAAATGGTACGAAACATTCGTTTTTCCTGTCATCTGGCGCAATGTCAATATTACGCCTTATTCGTATAATATACAAATACATCTTCGTACAATCAAACCAACAACTGCGCTTATTGTCTCCTAAAGTGCTGATTGTGTGTTGGAGATGGGATATTTTTTTTAGAAATATTGTCGGTTTGACCAATACATGCATGCTACCACAATAAATCAAATTACTCGTCACGATGGTTTTATGTTAGAGAAAAAAAAAACATGCAAGCAGCAGAAAAAGCAGGAGAAATCGAAGTACCGCTCCATGAGTGCTTCTTATTTTCCTTTAGTTTTACCATTTCTCACAGCATAGATAGAGCGATGGATAAAGCACAGATCTAACGATCTCAAGGTTCACGAGTCGAGTCCGGTCTGAAGCCTATTTTTATTTTTTTGTCATATTTATTCCTTCCAATGATGAAGTTATTTTTACCCATCCTCACTAACACACTCCACATTTTTCGGTTTCCACAACCAACACTTGTGAACCGCTGGTTGGGTGTAGCCATAGCGAGTATGGCAGTTCTAACGAAACTAGCTTCATACAATGTACAAATCCATTTCGTTGCAGAAAACAACGAATAAATTCGTAGAACAAACGAGCGATTTCGTTGTATAAACGAAATTTTATTTTTAGTGTACGATCCACGTCACAAATAATGAAAACATTCACTTAAGAAACACACCCTTCCCTTTCCCCGCCCCTCTTATTGTTCAGTTCAATTTTCCCATAGTTGAATAATCGTTTAATAAATGTATAATTATGTCTAATTAAACGTTACTTCACATGATAATCAAGCGTATACAGAGCATCACTGTTTTAAGGAAGCAGTGATGCCTAATAAACGCTGAATAATCAAAAATGTTATCGTACAAACTCTGTTACAACTCATATAAGTCAAATGACAGCTTCTCGACATACCTTATACAACACCAAGTAGTTCAATGTTGTGGTTGAATAAATTCTCCAGATTTATGTGAAATAAGCCTGAACAGAAGTTATTATTAAAAATAGTACAACTACTATTAAGCATACAGTTGAATAAAATAGCCAAGAAGACGTTTCTTCAATAGGCGATTGTTTGTTGGGCGTCCCATAACTTTCAAATCACCGCCGTAAATTCGTCAAATTTGCGATATCTGTATTCCTTAAATTTCTGTTCTACATATCCCCAGATACAGAAATTCAGGGGATTCAAATCAAGTGAGGTTGGAAACCATTCGTACTTCGAGATTAAATCCTTCAAATTGGTTTCACACCACCTCTGTACAAGATTTGCAGTGTGAGCCGGAGGTACATCTGATTTAAAACAGTAATATTCTGTACCGTACATTTTTCGAACACCAGGCATCAAGTTTTTCCGTAAGACCTCTTCCAAGTAGTATTTCGTGTTGATTTAACACCCTTGTCGATGAAAACAGAGGAAGTTAGCCTTTCCTTGAAATACCACCCCATCCCGAGCAGAAACCGAAAGCTAATCGATAGCAAATTAATATCTCAATCTGGTAAAATACCAGATTTTGGTATGCTTGTGGTATAAACCTTGTTTTGATATTATTCAGTTATCGAAATATTTGGTAAAATATCATATGAATACCAAAATAGCAAAATGTGATCTTTCAGTTTTTAGACAATAATACCTAAACGAGCTATTGAATTGGTATTAGAAGACTTTCAACATAACAAACTATGATATTCTGGCATCTAAAAAAGCATCTGTTACCCGTTTGTTATTGTAATAACTAAATTGTTTATTAGTTTGTTATTCGTAGAATATTTTTGAGATATTATAACTAATACCATATTTAGGTTGCCAGTTATGCTATTTGCATACCTCAATTTGGTATTATTATTTTTTTATTTTTTCCATGACCGATTACGAGTTTTGGTATCGTGGTACATTTCTTTTATGTTTTGGAATGTCTTTAATCTAAATCGCCCACATCCGGTCATTTTGGGAATGATGTGGAGCTTGGAGAACGAACAACTTCTCTCGTACAAAGTGAAGGCTCCAAATCGTGACGAACGACAATATACGGTGGGAAAGTTACGGGTCCGGAAACTGTACACCCAGATGCTGACGAAGCCTCATTATCTCATCATGGATGATGAGACTTACGTCAAGGCGGACTTCCAAGGCTACTGTTCTTCACCACCCGGCACAAGTTTGATGTTCCAAACAAATACATGAGATCTACCTCAAGGAGTGTCTACAGAAGCGTCTGCTTCCTCTGTTGAAGCAACACGAGGGCCCTACGATCTTCTGGCCGGATCTAGCTTCGTGCCACTATTCAAATGTTGGCCTGGAGTCGTACGAAGCCACCGGGGTCACTTTCGCACCCATACATGACCCCCCCCCCCCCCCCAACGCACCGGAACTAAGGCATATCGAAAAATACTGGGCTATTATGAAGCAGGCACTACTGAGGAAGACATGACGAAAAAGTGGGTTTCCGTACAGAAGAAGCTGCAGCCAGATGTTGTACAGAACCTAATAAGTGGAGTGAAGCGTAAGGTGCGAGCGTACGGTTATGGTATTGAAGTTGAATGAAATAAATATGACAAAAGCTTACTAATGGGGTATATTTTAATGTCTGAAAGTACAGGTCAACTAGGTAATTTTCAACAGCATTTTTTCCGTAATGCAATTTTTTGTGGGACACCCTTTACAACAAAGATCGCATTCCGAGATCTCTAAAAAAAAAATTACAAGTCAAAATAGTCCGAAAAATTAACTAAGTTTTCAAAACCTTAAAAACATAACTGTGTAAGAAAGCTCGTCAAAATTTATTTCAGTCTGGCTAAGCTGAAACTGATGACCATCGGTACAACGACCGGACACTCACACAAAAATTTTCCGAACTCGCCAAACTGAGTCGATTGACCCACCGGGACTTAGATCAAAAATGTGTTCTGAAGTGATATTATACCCTTTCGGTACACCTCGCTATACAAGAAAGGCAAAAACGTGCGACCAGCAGCTACATTGCAGATATCTTCATCCAGATGATCTCAACCGGCCAATCCTACCAATCCCATCAATAAATCACACCATTTATGGTCCTGTTCCAAACGGTCAACAAAATGCACCACAATCTTGATCCAGCTCCACGCCCACTCGACCGTGAGGCCGCTCAAGTGTCCATCGATCCAATGACCGCGGTACCAGATTCGATCAATTATCTTGTCGTCGTTGCCGTCGACGACGATATGGCCCATTAGTTTCGCACAGTTTCATTCAAACCAGTCAGCGTCATCGATGCCTTGACGAGGCGATGCAAATCGATATATGGACGCACTTTCGAGGTCTGTGGGATGAATGTCATGGGTGCTGCCAAAGAACAAACTCTTGGCTAATATCCGTGCCAATAACCAGTAGACAGTCGACGACGACGGAACAGGTTAAAAAAGCCACCTGGGTAGACATAATAGAAGCAATAGAAAAAACAATCATCTCTCGACGCGGGCAGCACAAATAGCCTGTTGCCACTCAAATCGTTCCAAAGTAGACCAATGTGGGCGTCGTAACAAGTGCGGTGTGGTCGACTGCTTGCAAAACCCGCCAAACAGCCCACTTGTAGCTACAAACAGGCTCAAGCCAGTAGCTGCAAACCGTTTGATCTGTTCCACATGCAGTCTAGATTCCCACCTCTCGAACTCGGACAGATCTAGGTTTGTCAGGACCGCCCTTTTTCGCCACCCCACATTTTAACTTATTTAGATCATCGTCATCGCGGTTGTTTGCCACTCATGCTACGACCACGACGTGAAGTGTGCGGTTTCAAGAATGCAACTAAGCAGCTGCGGCGCAAGTTGGCAAACATTCTGTACCTAGCACAACATTGTCTGTTACGAAATGCCTGCAAACGGCTGCTGCTGCTGCAACGGGGAGGACCAGTAGACAACACAGCCAGGTCACCGGATGTAACGGTTTTTCCACTCTCCGGCTCCAGCACGGAGTCGAGATCTCCGCTGATGACGCGAGGAATATCGATTTGCTAGATTTGAATCTGTTTTTCTTCGGATTTGCTTTGCTTTGCTGCTTTCTTTCCTTTTGTTGGCTGAGATGACCAAAGGGCTGATTCATTCATTTCGGATTTATGGATGGCGGCTGCCCTCTGTGGCCGTCACATCTCTGTTTATTTATGTTTATTTTTCTAATTTAGATCTACAAACGCGTTTGACCTCACGGCATAGCTATAGAAGATACAGAGATGGGCGTTCAATAGATTAGCAGTTTATTAAAACGTTTGCTCTTTCCTCTTTTCCATTTCAGATTCCATCGGGCAACAACGGCGTAAAGGTCAGTATTGTAAGGGGTTGAGAAATTGTGTGCTTAATGGTTTAGATTAATTCAATTCAATTCACTCTTGATCACTTGCGTAACAATCTCGATGCTGCTTAACTTTGACCTTGTTTGAGGTTAAATTAACATCAGACGATCTTTTACACTCGTCATTGTGTAGAAGCTCTAAGCAGTATAAATGTAAATTAACAAAGCTTGCTATATAGAAATCAAGGTTTCAGCGTGTCATAACTTTCTTAAAATGTTGCACATGAATGATTGTTTTTTTTTTTAAATAAATAAGGTATCGAGGAGGTCATAAACGGAAAAGGGACAAATGGTACAAACAGTTTTGTAGATCAAATAATGACAATCATTGGAATAGGTACACATTCGCGCGTAATGAGTATTCACAATCGATAAAGAAAACTCGTAGTGCGTATGTTCAAAGGGAGATTCATCAGCATCAAAACAACAGCAAAGAGTTATGGAAAATTTTGAAATCTTTATTAAAACCTACACACTTAAAAAAACTACCGACTTCGGTAATTCATTTACCGAATTCTCAACAACTGAACGGTCGGTAATGTGTTCGGTAATGGAGAACATTACCGAAAAATCTGTAAACTGAATCAGCAAAATTAGCTGTCAAATGTACCGAGCGATCGGTAACGTTTACCGAAAAAACAAGCTTGATTTGTATTTTTTTTTTGTTATATTCACTTTAACACTCATGGGTCATTTGTGACTTTTTTTTTTCCTTTGGTTTGTTTTTTCCGTCGATCTTGTTTTCCGTGCTGAGCACCAATGCTACCGACGTGCCAGGAAGGCAGCTCCCACACCTGGACCCTACCTATCGACCCATCAACTCATGAACCGGGGACCAACGGCTTTACTTCCCATCAGAGATGTTATGCCTCAGAACATCCCGGCGGCGCCGACTGGGATTGAACCCAGGCCTGCTGGGGTGAGAGGTAATCACGCTTACCACTACACCACCGGCGCCGTTATATTTGTGACTTGTCCGGGATGAGATTTGAACTCGTGACTTTGGCGTTAGAGGTATGGATGTTAACCACTACGCCCCCTGATTTGTTATTGATTTTACCGAAGAACTGTAATTTTGGAGACGATATGGAAAATGAAAATTACTGAAAGATCTGTATTTTTTTTTAAAGTCTACCGACTCAAATTTAATTCGCTTTAATATTGTTTCAATGCGTTTTCGGGGTTTTATCAATTATTTAAATTAAATACAAATACTCAGATGAATAATTTTTTTGAGTTCATTCAATGATGTCTCTGATTCACGGGTAGAACTTGCTTCATCGCATTTAGTATGCATTTCATGACCGATGAAAAGAGTTTCCCCGAGTGGATCGTTTCCCTTCGTGGTACTTCTGGCTGAAACAAAGCTTACAAGTGGATGATTAACGATGATATGGCGTTTTAAAGAATAGAAGTTTCTATATCTTGCATCACATTTCTGATATGTACAATCGAAAATTGTGTTTGCCGGTATAAAATCTTTCTGTTTCCACTTACAAACTTTTTTTTTTAAGAAGGTCAAAAATCACAATATCGCGAATTTGACGTTTCTCGCTGTAAAAACTACCGAACTCAGTAATGGAACGGGTTGTTTACCGAAACATCAGTAAAATAAAATAGTAAAATATTTCACCGAGGTCAGTGATGAAGCTGATTTACAGATCTGCTGGTATTTTTTTTTTACCGTTTTCGTTGAATCGAAATGAAATCACCGAAATTCGGTAATTTTATTTACAGTTTTCAGCAATAGAGTGAGAAAATACCGAAACATCTATAATTTTTAGGATTACCGATCTACAACGGTAATTTTTTTTACCGAAGTGTGTTTAAGTGTGTAGTTAGTAATTGCGAACCACGGTCCATAACTTTTCATGGCGCATTAGAACAGTCGGAACAAGTAATTGCATCTACATTTAATGATTATTTTGTCGACAGTGTTTTATTGATTAATCAATCCATTGAATTGGTCGATAAGCCTGACGAAATAAAGCAGCCAGTTAATAGTAGTTGTAGATTTGAAGGTTTTCACCCAATTAGATTAGATGATCTTAGAGTTATTCGTTTTTCATTAGGAAAATCGGCTGGAGTAGACAATGCTAAAGTTATTCAAGATTGCTTTCATGTCATCGGCCACATCTTGCTGGACCTCATTAATGAATCATTGCAAACTGGACATGTGCCACAAATTTGGAAGGAATCCTTAGTGGTTTCTATTCAAAAAGTTGCTGGGACGATTAAAGCAGAAGAGTTTCGTCCCATCAACATGTTGCACACATTAGAGAAAATTTTAGAGCTTGTTGTTAAAGGCCAGCTGTTGGAGTATTTAAATAGTAATAGTTTGTTGATACCAGAAAAATGGGGATATCGGGAAGGTCATTCTTGTGTTGAATTTGATATTAGCGAAGTGGAAAAATAACTTGAAGGGAAAAGATACGATTGTTACTGTTTTTTGGATCTAAAACGCGATTTTGAAAGGCCCTTATTGTTCCGATCAATCAAGCGCTTTGGAATTACGAGTACTGCAAATAAATGGTTTGAAAGCTGTTTGTCTGACAGAACTCAACTGACTGTTTTTAATAATTCTGTTTCCAATCCCGTAGGGAATAACCTTGGAGTGCCCCAGGGAAGTATATTAGGGCCCCTGTTATTTATTATGTATATTAATGACTTGCGACGTGTTTTACGATTTTGCGACATTTATCTGTTTGCAGATGATACTGTGTTATTTATTGCAGTTAATCCCCCACCCCCCGCCCCCCTTAGGAAGCTCAACAAATACAAAAAGCGTCCATTTTGCTGCTACTCCGATTTGAACCCAGACTTCTAACAAACTTGGTGAGAATGCTGATGCCTTTTCCATCTAGTCCATCTCAACTGTTTAAGAAAGAGTAGATGCAAGCTCAAAAAGTAGCTCATAAAGCTCAAATCTTCTTAGTTTGCTGGCGCCGGCAACTGAGTTAACGTTCTTCGATCTTCTGATTCATGCGACTTTCTGCACTGACGTAAACATGGGGTGGCTAAATATATTCATTCGAAAACCAAACAGAGTACAGCCCATGCTGCGAGTGGTCGAACAGCAGAAGACCGTTCTGGTTCTGCTGGTAGTTCCGCCAGGCCTCATGGCGAGCATTTAAATCTCCTCCAACTACGAAGTGGGAACCGGTACGGGTGATGGTGGACAGGTCCTTCTTGAAGTTAGCCGCTAGTCCACTGCTGGCGGCACACTGTCAAGGGCAGTAGACGGCGATGAACTGGACGTATCCAGTCGACGACTTCACCTCCACACCAAGGGCCTCGATGATAGAGGTGCGGATATGGGACAGAGTGTGGTATTTTATTCCTTTCTTGACAACGACCGTCACTTCTCGCTGCTGTACTTAAGCGATACGCAATGTCACGTCAATCCTATGAGGTTCTTGTCCCTGCTACTGCTGTTACAAGACGTCGATTCTCCTACTTGCCGTGGCTCCTACAGGCGAGCGGTTCCCAGGTAGACTGATTTCGAAATAACACGGTGGACTGCGGTGGAATTGCAACTTCTCCCGATAGAGTGAACTCGTCCGTTCGCAGATCGATGAGCAGTGCTGGCTAGATCGATTCGTTCGGTTCGATTGATCTGTGAAAATGATCGGGGAGAGAAAAAAGGCCGTCTGTGAGCGTGTATATCATTGGTTCACACTATTTTTGTGCAATCGTGCTTACATAGTGATAATTTAAGCAAGCTTGTTGATCAGAAGTGTCTTGTAGTGACAATTTCAATTTTAGAATGCTAGCTGTGCATTCTTGATCAACAACGTAACCTTTTTCAGGATTTAACGAAATAAAATTATTGTAGCTGAGTCGTGGATCATTACTGCACGCTTTAGGCTTGGTGGTTTTGGAGGTTTTTAGTTACCTAATCGTAACAGCTAAGGAGCAATCTGGGTCATCGCCGTAAAAGATAACATCACTCTCAAGTCGCTGACATTAATTTCCAACGAAAATTTGTCTACCAGGCAAGACAAAGATTGAACTGCCACCGTCAATCGACTATGACGCTTGTGCATCTACACATCAACGCAAAGCCACGCGAACGGCCAATCCAATAATTATTTTGTATTGCAACCAACTCTCCTTAACTCTATATTGGTTTTTTTTATAGCTTTATTAGCGAGATTTTTAGCTCGTTGGTTAGTTCATCTCGTAACTCGGTATTGAAGGGACCGTCGACCTAGGGAGAATATCGAGTAACGGAGCTACATTTTGGAAATTTTTATGAGTAAAGTGGTCGAGGTAGTCTGGATTTCCATCGTGTTAGGGAGAAAATCAAGATAAGGAGAGATCAAGTAAGGGAGACTTGACTGTTCTAATTTATTGAATTCTTAGCATCCCTATGGTTGTACTTGCCACACGATTATAGGGTAGAGCGCTATTTTGTCGTAATCGCCCATTTCCGTTCTATCGATCAGAAAATATCAATAATAATAATGATTTCACCGTGCACAAATCAATAATAGGTTGGCTGCGATGCGTTAGTTCATTAGCTACAACATAAATCCTATTAGAGCGCATTGTATGAATATTTAATCTCATTGTTCTCAAAACAAAAGAAGCGCTCCTAGCGAATCCCCTTTGTTACGTTTATCCGTAGGACGAAGAAAATCTAATGGCGTTTCATTGCGTTAGGACGGAATTGAAACTCGTAGAACGAATTTAGAATCAACTGCTGGGGATGGGAAGGCTTTTTAGTTGGACACTTACTTAAGAGAGATGCAGAGAACTCTAAGACCGCTCATAAGTGTCACAGGAGTTTGGAGGTTTCTTAGTGGGCAGGGTAAGGCCATACGTTCGGTAAACGTTGCTGGCAAATTTACGATAGCAGTGGTTATGTTATATTTATGTGTCAAAATAAAGTAAATGTGTATGTGTGTATGTGTGAGTGGCTGTGTGAGTGGCTGTGTGAGTGGCTGTGTGAGTGTTTTAATAAATAA